AAAGCATTCTTCATTAACAAGATGTGCAACATTCAGAGCGAATTTCAGACTCACCTAATTCTTGAAGCCAAGTTGTCACCTGTGTGTTAAGAGGAAAGGATATGAAAACACGTAGAGTCGAGACGTTTACCAGAACGGGACCAGCCCACTGGGGGTAGCTCTCAATGACATAGTTTTGCACAATCGGCGCTGTGATCAAGGTTGATGTCATGAGAAAGAAGGTCCCGAGCAGCAAGACGGCGTAATGAAGGTGGTTCTGGTCGGCGTATCCAAACACTAGAGCACCCGTGATGGCGAAGAAAATAGGCAGGATGAGATTGGGAAGCTGGTGTTCGGCTTCACGGCCACCCTTCTTCTTCGAGATCCAGAGAGACACTGAGTCGGCGACTGGTCCACCGACGACGAATATGACGATAGTTGACAAGATCTGGGGAATTTGCGAAAGGCCGGTGAGTTCGAAAGGAACGCTATTGTTCAAGAGAAATGCATTAGTATTTTGGTCCCAGGACGAACTACTGTGGTAAATGCTTACCCAGCAGCGAGAAGAGCGAATGAGGTCGCCTGTCCCGTCGCACCCATAACCATCCCAAATGCAACCTGCAATAGAGTGCACCACAAGACAGCGGGGAACATGGTGGTCTTGAGAGTGGCGATGATCTGGAGGCCGGCATCCTTCCAATGAGTTCCGCTCTGGAAGAACCCCAGGTCATCCCATCGCGTACGCGCGCCGTATGTGGCGTAGTCTAGCTGAGTGCGGTCCTCGCCCGCAGCTATGGGCCACAGCTGGTGTCCAGCAAGCTCTGCTTTGGATCTCTGTCTGAGTGTCTCGGGGACAAACAGGATGAGCATGATCCAGGTCAGGACGCCGACGGCGGATGTGATCCAGTAGATCCATCGCCAGTCCCAGTTGACAGCAATGTACGGACCAAGGATTCCGAAAAGCATAATCATTGGCCCCTACGTGAAGATGTCAGTTACTTGATATGGCTAACTCCTTACCGCAAATCATGGGATTTGAAGGGTTGATGGTATGACGTCTCAGATGGCATAAACCTACCTGACTGGCAATGATGGACGCCACAGCTTTGTTTCTCTTGTGAAGAAACATCATGTCCTGGACGATCAAAGGGAGCAAGGCCTCGACAGCACCAGACCCAAGACCGTGGAAGACTCTGGCAGCAACATGGCTTGTAAGCGACTTGCTGTATCCGGCCCAGAACCCTCCGCCCCAGGAAAAAGCCGACGTGAGGATGAGTACCGGACGTCTACCGATGGCAGCCGTAAGAGGGACCAAGAAATACGTAGCAACACCATTACTGAGCATGGGAATGGTCGCCAGAAGAGAAACAGACGTCAGAGAAACTGGAGTCACGCCGGATGGCACAATTGCAAGAGGGTTTGGATTGCCTTTGAGGTCGGCATGCTTGAGAGTTGAAGCCGGATCGACTCCAGAGTACTCAAGGATGAACACGGGCAAGAGGCCAGCGACGGCGATCTCGGCAGCAAGAGAGACGGAGCCGACTGTGTGCTGTTAGAAATGGACGTCCCGCCCAAGTTGGACGGAAGAAGCTTACAGAAGCATAACGAGGCGACAGCAAGCCACTTGCGCCACTCAGGCAGATTGAGAGGATCCTTGGGATCCGGAGTAGGAGTCTTGATAGTTACGGTCAGTCTCCCAATGCATTTCGGATTAATCTGTGGCCCTTCACTCACGGGCACAAGCCGAATGTTTCCATCCTTATCATAAATCTCAGTACTTCCAAGCACTTCCTCTTCATGGACGGCAGCCTCCTGCTTCTCAGCGGTGATCGTATCGATGGAGTCGATCCTCGCGAGCCCTCGTCCACCTTCCTGCAAGGTCTGCATCGGATAGCGCGGGGATGCTGGGGTCAGCGCCTGGGAATGTCGAAAATCCACGATGCTGAATGGGATAAACATCTGCGAGCTGCGCTTGGCGTACTTATCGATCCTCGATTCTCGTCTACCGCCACTGACATTACTGAAGTCGATTGGGACGAGAAGCCCATCGTTTTTGTCGTCGTTCATGATTTTTTTGAGTTTGAATTAGGGGGAAAGTATAAAGGTTAACGTCAATAAGAAAGGGGGTTGAAACAGTCGCCTCGAAAATAGGAGGAGAAAAGTTAATGGCAAAGACACGGACGGTGTTTTTCGCGTTCGAAAGTCTCCAGCCAGCGAAAGGGGGATTAAATGAGCGAAGGAATCGAACAGGAAAGCATCGAAAAAGGTTGGGAGGAAGAATCCGGACCGGCCGTTTGGAAACTAAGTTGTTCTGATATCAGTATTTGGTCTCTTCATTGAGGACTGGGACGCGCATTTGCCTTCGAATGAGGAAGGTAGTAGATGGAAACGTTTGGATTGAAATTGCAGAGGCAAGACGGGGCATTTTTTACACGCGGCAGACTAGTGCAGATCATCGGTAAGGCGCCCCCACGTACCTTGTGTTGCGTAGTATTTTCGATCTCATTCAGGCATCTGGAAGTTCTCTCCGATCATCTTAACATTGTCATGAAAATTCTCTCCTTATATGAAGTAACTTTTAGAAACGCCTTACAAAGAGATCCGGAATATCCAGGAACCTCAAGCCAGCCTCCTGGTAAAACGAGAGTCTCATCAAGATCCGTTCCAAGACATTGGATGGGATGACAGCAAATGTTGTTTATAGATGGCGGTACCAGGAAAGCGATCATGCCAAAACACCCAATAGCGGTCCTCTTCGTGACCTCTGTGTGGTATTTTCTGCGTTCACGGATTATCCGGTGGCATCAAACGTCGAGATGAAGCTCTAGACCCAGTGACCTCCCCCACACATTCCCAAGATCATGTGCAATGAAGTACCCTGCGACTCTCGCGCGGCTTGTGGATACATGTAGATGGGATGGGCCGTGAAACAGCATCCTTCATTTCAGTCGTCCCATGTTTGTATAGTCAGCGTTGCTCTTGCAGCGGAAAAGAGGGACAATGGCATGAGGAGATGGCAGAACCTGCGGGCCCTATGCTTGTTCTGACGGAAAAAGATGAGGCTCAAAAGCGTGTTGTGTGAGGTGCCACATTTATGCATCTGGACGTGCGCCTGTCGACAGTTGGTTTTATCGTTGCTTTGACTGTAAGATCATCACCTTGTTGACCGGACGTCATGAACGCGCAATCTGGTGAGGAAAGAAGCAGAGACGATGAGTGTACCAATTTAGTAAAACTTGTTACATGGTTCGCCATGTCGGGTGCGAGTCCCTAGCAATTTACAGTCTCGAATAGATCGAGAAGAGTTCTAGAAAGTCTCAAGATCAGGGCATGCTTTTTCTAGGAATAGGTCAAATGCCTGGATGCTGGTGTGGTTGGCAAAGAAGATCATTCGATTGGTTGCTCCGCAAAGTCTGATCAAAAAGCCCCGAAATCTTTCGAGTCTTCGGGGCTCGAGGGGCTGGGATAGGGCTGTCAACAGCATGGGCCGGCGAAAACCAAAAGCTGGACTCTGGAGCCCGTGCCTGGACGCGCCGAACCGGCGGCCGTTGCCAATTGACTTTCTATATCCCAGTTTCGTTGAGGTTTAACTTTGAGTTTTGATTTCTTTCAATACCTTACATTATCTCACCAAACGTCGTAATGTCAATTCTGCCACTAAGTGATAAGTACTAACTCCAGATTCTAGATGCGAAATCTTGCTGCAAAGTATAGTCAGAGCACTTGCAACTGGAGCTTAGGGGGAGGGCATAGACTTCACCCGGAACGCCCATGCTTCTTCCCCGCCAAGCTCTCGACGAAAGCAGGGCTTTGCTGCCACAACTGTCTGTTTCTGTTTCGGACAAGTATCCACATCCCGTCTCGGAAGGACTTTATGCTGTAGATCACCCACTTCCCGTGTCAATGATGACAAACCTCCGCGATGGAAGGATTGAGTGAGACGCTGCGAGTTTGGTAAACTTCGCGACGCGAGACCAACAGCAATGCTTTCGACATGATACAGGTTCATATGGACCGTTTGGACATATTGATTAATTCTCACATCGCATCCGCCATGAAGAGAGGCGACTCTGATGATCTCGTGAGTAGTAAATTGCACCGAAATTTTGTACATTTCCGATCAACAAGAAGAGTTCCATCAGCATTGGCGAGGACCATAGTTACCTAGGAACCTATGCTGTTATGTATACATATCCATACCACCTTAGTAGAGGCAGTCTAGGTCGACTAGAGATGAGTGTAGTGGTCTTAGGGTCCTGATGAGCATATCGTCTGCCTGTTCGCGACTACACAGGACCCTATGATACATGACCAGAGTCTTTTACTAGTACACATCGTGGGTTTGTCGGTAGAATCTTAGATCTTCCCAACTCATTGCACATCTTGCGAATTTGCGCAACGTCTTGTGAACATCGAACGCGTTCCGCTAAAGCTCTCTTACCGACACCCTATTTCCTAAATCTGGTGCACTTCTGGCTTTCTCAATCTTCACTATGTTCTGACGGTACGGCCCTTCACGGCCCCTCCCCGACTGTGGATCCGATCTGCGGGCCGAGTTCTTATCGAATCCGGCGTGAATCACCGTTCAAATGCCGGCCTGACGTAAGACTCACACAGTTGCGTCTCCTGGGTGTTAGGCAGCCGTTGGATAAAGCCCTGCGGGCGGCATCGATCTAGTCCTCTCATTTCATTGGTTTAACATCGAAGCTACAAGGCCAACTTCAGTGTGGACACGCTGCGCCTTTGTAGGAAGGGCGCTAGCAAGGTAAACATTTTTGGCGCAGTACTTATTAGAGACATGTCATCCCCATTCGTTTAAGCACAAAAGTTCCAAATTGTTGACGTTTCGTCGTCTGTGGTGGCTGAGCGGCTCGCAACGGGCTGCGTAATTTTGACCTCGTATTCTCAAGTATTTGCGACCTGAAACCCATTCCTGCCATCGTCGGGTGTCTTTCATATCTCGTAATAACCTTGGGAAACCCGGGGATACTCCTTCGTTACAGCATACAGCATTGTTCACCATGATCGTCGACACAAGCTCTCCGCCCAAAAGAACCCGGGAAAGCACATCCAAAGTCCGAACCGGGTGCAGCACCTGCAAAGCTCGTCGCGTAAAATGTGATGAAGCGAAGCCCGTTTGTCGACGGTGCACCGTCGGAAGCCGGAAATGCGAGTACAAGTCGACAAGTCCAGCACGATCACCCCATCATAACGTGATCACTGTTTATGTTCCCCCTACGAAAAGTCAGCCGGCATTTTTCGAAAACACAAGTGGCCTTGATTTCTTTCACACCAACATTGGCACGATACTTGACGGACAGTTTGATTCAGAGTTTTGGAGGAAGCTTGTCCCACAGTTATCACACTCCGAGCCGTCGATCCGACATGCAGTGTCGGCAGTTAGTGCAGTTTACCGTGATGTTGAGGCATCATTGCGGCATCCATCAGGGTTTGTGAAGGCCAACCCCGAGGCACAGAGAGAATGGAAGCTCGCACTCAAGAGCCTCTCTGCTCGAATTCAGACGAACCCAAACTCCAGCCTGGTACCTTTGGTCTGCTGTCTTCTGTTCACATGCATCGAGTTCCTTAGAGGCGATGCCGACTTATCAATGCTTCACATCCACAACGGGTTCAACATTCTGGCCCCCCTCCGACCCAACAGCGGCGCCACACCGGAGACAGGGTCAAGGACCCCCTGCAACGATCTCACCTTGATTCAGGATCACATCTTCCCAATGTTCTCACGCCTGGGCATCCTCTCCTGTCTGGCCGGTAGATTTACCCCGCCAGTCTACATGCATACGGAAGAGGACGAATCTCCACACAAGGACTTTGAGGACGCTAGACGGCGGTTATTCGCTATCGCTGACGCCTGCATTCGGTTCATCAACGCGGTCAGTCCCAAGGCAGACACGCTGCTTGTGGGCATTGATGACCTTGTTGAGCAGGCCAAGCTGCAGACCAGATTAGAAGTATGGCACAGGCAGTTCGATGATCTCTTGAAACGGCTGCAGTCTGTCGGCAACCCGCCCAACCCAGACGCGGTCAACATCCTTCTCGTAAACCACAAAGTCGTCAACATTTGGACACGAGTCTGCACTACATCTCAGGAAACAGACACAGATGTTTACAGATCAGACTTTGACGAGCTGGTGACGTACGCAGAGCAAGTCATCAAGCCAGGCAAGGTACAGGCAGGACCACAACTTCTTTCATTCGACGTCCAACTCCTGGCACCGCTATTCTACGCCGCGCTGAAATGCCGTCACTCGTCAATACGATGGCGTGCCCTGGAGCTGCTCCGTCTGGCACCCCGACGAGAAGGTTTATGGAACGCGCACCACGCATATCTCACGGCCAAGCGCATAGTCGAGCTGGAAGAACAGCATCTAGGTGGAGAAGGAGCTCTACCCGACGAGACGTCGAGACTTTTTGGTCTGCCTCTACCTGATGACCAGTCACGGGTCTACAACCTGTGCGAGCTGCCATTTGACTTTCGTACGTTCGATCATAGTGTGGTGGCCAGCCCAACGTGCCCAGGCACGCTTGAGGCCAAGTTTCAGACCAGACCAATGGGTGTGTTTGGAGAGTTCCAGAATTTCACGGAGTACATCAAGTTATGATATGGTGGATATCTATGAATTGCGCCCATATCTTCTACATTCTAGAGCCTTCCTTCAACTTAGGTATTGTACAGCCGGTACTTTCCTCGTCTCCAATACAAACCAATACCCCAGTCAGATCCACAGTCCATGTCCATTACTCCACCTGCCACTACATACTCAAACAACTCTCAAATCTGTGCATGTGCCCTCTTCCAAACGATCTCAAGCATGATTGCCTTGAATCTCCTCCATCGAAGAGCTGCTCATTTCAAAGGCAGCCTTCCTGGAGTGCTTAACAGACCAAGCCGCGCTGCTCCACTGACCATCAAATCCAATACCAGGATGGAAAACCGTTACAGCGAGGATCGCCAGGAAAATCATGGGCCCCTCCAAGATCATGAAAGAAACCTCGTCATTGGCAATAGGCCCGTTAAAGCCCTGCTGCAACTCCGCAACACGATAAACCGAGCGGATGAAGACAAGCAAAACAGCCGCCCCGAGCGCCCACTGGAACAAGAAGAACTTCTTTGTCGACCTGAGCTCAGCGAAGCGTGATCCACCCTTGTTGCCCTCGGTCGTCTTGCGGAGGCGGAAGACGAACTCCAGCCACAGGAGCATGAAGACCAGCAGGGATACGACTTGGAACACGACACCCGCGACCATCATTGCTCTGCCTGTCTCGCTGCCGGAATGTGTGTTTGCAGTAGCTGCGATACCACCACCGGCGCCCTGGAGCACGAGTGAGATAAAGTCACTCGTCATGAATGTGATTGCGTAGGTGCGAGGGCTGAAGCGAGAGATGTGCTGGCCGTGGACGATGATGATACGGGAGAGGCAGAGGTAGAGGGCACCGGCGAGGAAGGCGGGTGCGATTGTAAGAGGAACGAGGTAGCTGTTGACATTTTGTCAGATACTCTCAAACGCCATGGGGTTTGGAGAACGGCTCGGTCCAAGACTTACATGATGAAGTTGTTGAAGTCGAATGGGTTGTTATGCAGCATGATTCTGCCGGCATATCCGACGACCTCGAGGACGAGACCACAGATCATGCCGACCATAAATCCCCATGTCTTATATCGGATGCCGAGACCAATCTGGGCGATCAGGAGCAGCCCAAAGGCTGCAGCGTAGACTGCATTACCAGCAAGAGTTGGAAGGTATTCAACTTGAGCACAGCTGAGGGGACATGTTTCCACGGTGCAGTTGGCATTTGTTAAAAGAGGGCAAACTTCCGACATTTTGTCTGTGGGTTGACAAAGCTGAGGTAAAGAACAACGTGAGGGAGCTGAGACCGGAAGAACTTTCGATACACTGGGTTGCAAGGTTGGTGGGCTGATCAAATTGATGCGATCCCGTCCATACACATATATATCTACGCGCCCTCTCCGTAGTTCGCATCCTCGACAATAGCATGTCCAGAATTCCAATCCTCTCGCACTCTCGCAGTCGACAGCCCTATTCGGAAAGGGGCTAGACAGATACGACCTGTCCGCTACAGCCTACAATCCTCATGTCAACATAGCCTCAATCCCGAAAGCCACATGGCATGATTCGCCAGTTCGCATCTGACACCGAAAGACTGCGAAATCAAGTCAGCGTTGACCCCTTGCGCCATATTCTTGGCACTTAGCCAAGTGCAGTCAGAGCCTCCCGAAACGAGAGCTCCCGATTGGTGACGGGGTCGGACTCTCGTATCCAGCTAACCAAAGATCGTTTAGCGACCGTCTGGGTACGCGCCCAAAGATAGACTCGTACAGTCCTAACGCAAATAGGAGATAATGCGACTCTCAATATACGGGCCGCAATATGCTTGCACAGAGGGAATGCTGTTTGATAACATGTCAACATATCAGAAAGCCTGTTGGCGTTCTTGCTGACATGGTACGTGTTCGCTACAGAACCTCTTCGAGGATTTTCTCTGTTCAGCCGCGTCATTATGCTCCGCCACTTGAATTGACCACTTCTCTTTGGCAAATCACTGACGCCTTGACTTTATTCAGCGCGGGTTGCTGGCCGGTGAACAGTGAACTTAGTGAGCAGCAATACAGGCATATGTCGTTACCTGGTGTGGCCCAAGATTAAACCATAATGCATGAAACACCACTGCCTGCTCATGTTGATGTTTTGCCTTATCTAGAGAAATGGCGTGACTGCAAAATTTGTCGTAATTGAATGTTTGACCACGCACCAATCTGCTTTGCACATGTAAGACCGGGGTAGATCAACTTGCTATCAACATGTCGAGGAGCGACGGCAGGCAGCTGGTTCTCCATTTCGGAATCCTCGTTGCATAGGAAAACCGCCACCAGGGCGGCAAACTGCAACACGCCTTTGACCCGAACAGCGGCACTGCGCGTGACGTCGATTGGCATGACAGAAGACCGGAGGTACAACAGGACGCACGACATATTACAAGCTTCTTTAACACGTACTTTGTTTCTACATCCTGTTCAGCAATCGGAGGTTGTGGCACACAACTTGTCAAGAATGGCATACATCATGGCCATGTGTCGCGGTCTTTCAGCAAACCTCACTCAATGTGCTGTTCAGTATCAATGGTTAAGGCGAGCGACCAGATTGTACATCTTGTCGTTCTTCCAAAGCGCATCGACGCTAGCAAGTGAAGCCTGCATGTATGCAGCAAACATTTCAGTGTCGTCTTTGTTCTCCAAGAACAGACCTGGATGCAACGGATCGCATTCGCCGCCCCCTCCGAAATCTCCAAGCAATTGATCACGTACTGTAATTGAACCACTTCAAAGACGAACCCAGGTTTCAAACAATCTCACCTGCTAGAATAGTTTACGTATATAATCGATGGGAGTTTTCCGTATTATCCATGTGATTTGTCCTTCACCGTAAACCCTTGAGATAAAACATACCCCACGATCAATCCGGATACAGAAGATAAATTCATCACTTTCAAGCACACGTTGACCGTTATAAGACAACACTATGGTGAGCCGAATGAGGACTTCGAAGCAGTTACAAAGTTAGAAAGCCTGTGGAGGCTAACATGAGAAATAGTACTCGAACAATTGGAACGCAGACAAGGACAAGAAAAACAATGAGAGTCAACCGCCGCCGAAGAAGCACAACGACACGAATTTGCATCCCAAAAAAGATGAAGATAGAGATGACATGACCGAAAGGGATGTGAAACGTGTAGGATTTAATGCCGAAAAATACAAAGACGGAAAAGACGACCCGAAGGATGTATGAAATATTTTCTGCTCCAAAATACTCAACCGCATTGGTGTGCGGATGACTGATGCTGACCAAATCTGCAGATGTTAGGATTCGCTGAGAGGTTCAGAGCAGCCGCTGATAGGAGACAAAGAGCCGCGAGCGGGGTTGAGACGGAAGATGCCGAGAATAGTCTCGCTGCCGGAAGCTCTACCTCTAATCAGAGTAATGTGCCAAGCGATATCCCGGACGGCAGTGGAAATTCTCGTGGAAACTCCGTAAGGGGCCGCGGTGGAAGCAGGGGTAGTCAAGGCAGAGGAAGCCGCGGTGGAAGCAGGGGGGCAGAGAGTCGCAGTAGGTCAAGGGGAGGTGGCGGCCGACGCTCAAGGGGAGGCCGCGGCACAAGCTCGGAGAGAGGCTCTCACGGAAACTAGAAGAGAGTCTTTGGCCAAGACCACAGTCGGCGAAGCAGGAAGAATTCTGGTTGCAGCTCGTGGACGAAGAAGCCCCCGCCAGGCAAGCCACTTCACAAATAGACAATTAGGCAGCAAGCAATGATAAGTAGCATTCTCACAGGCCTAATTCACCTAGTGACAGCTCATGTGGAATCAGATTACGCCTGACTTCGCTGTCGAATAATGGAGACCGATTGATAAGGTGAACAGCGTGTCACACTATCTTTGCGTGTACTCCTCACGTCCGAGAAGATGTTTTATCCTATACTTGTTGTCAAGGAGCTCTTGTGTTAAGCAATAAGTAGGCGTCAACATGGCGTTTCCGAATTCCATGGAAGCGCCGCTATGGATGTATTCATGTCTATAGCTGTAGCTGTAGCAGAATGAACAACGTTCTTTCAACCACATCAGTCGGGTCAAGTCATCGGGCTACTAAACAATAGATTCTAGCGGTGTGTTGGGTTTGGTAAACATCATTCCTTTGTTTGTGGTGAACAGATCTCGATTGAACAAATTTTGTTTGCCGCCATATGAAACAAATACGAACAATGAATCATACCCAAAGAACTCTCAACCTTTTGGAAGTCGATGCTCCCAAAATCTGCATCCTTTAATGCGACATAGAAGACTGGAACGCATAAATGGCCAACGGGACTCGCGTTCTTGAATTTCAGTTCTTCTCCGCTGGGACTCTAGCCTCATGTAAACGCCCCCATTCATCTCACGGATCATTGAACCTAAAAACTGCAGATACAAATACCAAATTCAAGTGAATCTCTGACGTGGTACAATACTCATCATGGTAAGGAGACATGGAGAGGACACCATAGTGGCTGCGCAGCTACTAACACTCAATCACTACGCCGGAGGTTCGATGGGACTAACAGTACTTCTAGAACCACCAGAATACGGTATATGAAAAGGAAGAAGATGCGGAACAAGTAAATATACATCAGAAGAAAGATGAAATAGTTCCGGGGAGGTTCCTTGTCCCCCCAGAGCAACCGGTACAAGCTGTCCCAGACCTGAAACCGGTACAGCGAACCAGTGAAATGTATGTGCCTGAATATCTTGGATAACTAACGCAGAAATTATAGGATAGGGCAACAGGGGAAATATTTGACAACAAGGCTACAAAATACGGTCTAAAGAGCAAGACGGAAACTGAAACCCCAGGGAAACGATATCTCAAGCGATGGTTCTGGTCGATAACACTACCCGTCGGACTTCTGAAGATATCTCATGTGCTCAAAAGGAGCTTGTGGGGCCATATTGATGAGAAGTGACCTTCAATGTCGGTGATATTGAACAGGCTCTAGTCGTCTGTCGAAAGCATTCAAATCTATTGCTGAAGTATTGACAACGTAACTTGATCACTTAGTAGATAGCTCTGTTAGGGGAAGCTCCTATAGTAGATGCGCGATAATATTACAATGCATCGTGGTACTGACACCAACTCTACGTGTGCTACCTTGTGCAGTATAGATTTCCTCTGAGTACGTTAATTTGTAGAGGCATTGATGCGACAGGCAATGTCTCGCAGACTGCAAGTGAGTAAAACCCACCACGAGTTGCCATTGAGTACATTTTGTAATGAATGAAGAACAACGGAAGAGAAGAAACAGCTTCATCTTGGATCTCAATCGAAACGATTCGTCCACTCTCAGAAGCCCGCTTGGCCAAGGGGCAACGTCTTGCATGCCCTTCAGTTCGATCGCATAGGATCCATGGAAATCATAAGATGTACTAGATGACTCAAGCATGAAAAGAAGAGGTTTGTACTAGGGAGTCCTGAAAAATAGGAAGAGGCTCTTCAGTTGGACAAAATCGGAGAGTTTCCAGCCACCACGACGACTATTCTTGAGCTGTTCGGTCACCGCCAACAAGACCGTTTAGGAATCATAGATAGGCTTCGTCACAGAGGGATTGGGATCAGTCCCAGAAGCTCATTCGGCAAGCTATTGCTTAGACAAAGAAAGAAAGAGAGCGGGACAAGAAGCTGTTCAACTTTGGGAGGTCAGCTGAGAGGCGTGGGTAAGCATTGTTCTAGCATCTGTACTACCTAGTGTAGCCCCTGAACTCCTGGCGGTATGATATTCCCCTTCATGATTAATAGGATTTCATCCGACACGTCATAGTTTCTGGCATGTGAAAGGTCTCCAGACGGTCTCCTTTGGGATGTAATCAGACCCCTCGGCTGTACTACGTGGTAGATATATAGCTTAGACGGATTTCCCATGCGAGGATGAAAGGCATAAATAGTCGAGCGGGTGTCGTGTAGTCGTCCTGTTGGCTCCTCTGTCCTGGCTCACGACCATCGAAAACAGACGAATTTGTCAACCTGCAGAAAAACCATACACTCATTGTGCACTTTTGAGGAGAATTCCATCAGGATAGACTTTGACAATGCCCAGCGTGGTAAGTTGAAAGGACGCGAGGCCCCTTAGTAGTTGCATTAGATGCTAAAAGACTTGTTCGAGGAAAACCAACAACACTATTCCAGGGGGGAAAGGGCTGGGACAATAAGGAGAAGCCTGGCTCCAATAAGGGTAGTGGCTCCTCAAGCTCTGGCGGACAGACTCGTGGAAATGCCGAGAACTCCTCTGGAGAGGACGCCAAGAAGTAGCCACGAGCATCGTCGTGCGGAAATGAGGACCGGCCCATGAGCGACTCGAGTCGGGAGTGACGATGATGAGATTTCCCGTGTTCAATCAGATATTCTCCCTCTCGCCGGCCGTAACTGTCATACTTGAAGCCATATCTGTATCCTGTGTGAAAACTTTCAGGAGTATATACAAGCAGGAACAGGCTGGGTGGATTCATGTATGAATATGTACTCATTTCAGTGTTGGGTCTGATCACTAACATGACATACATGTACTCAAAGCAGAATCATCAGGTGGACGCCACCTATCTTCAAGTTCACTCATTTAACGCCAATACCAAAGTCAGCAATCCACTTGACCTTTATGTGAAGTCAATGTCTGCATCATGAGAAGCCAGTGAATAACTCAAGAAATATTGCGTTAGCAGACGGTGAATCACGAGAGATAATGTCCGCAGCCAGATTAATGGCACCGCAATAATTCACTAATACGTATATAGTCTACCTCTCGTTAGTGTAAAAAGATATAAAATGGAAAGGATTCGCCTGCAGTCACATCCATTCCACCACCATCATCATCATCATCAATAACAACAACAATATTATCATCACTTGAAGCACTCAAAAGCTCTACAGACACGATCGGATTCCAGTCAACATCAACATCATACACTCTGCAACCAAAGACAACCACATCGTCAAAACACTTGCAATGGTCAAGGAAAAGATGACCCCTGAGGCTGCGGCCCGTATCAAGGCGGGGAATAAGGATGTAAGAGGAGCCGGGAAGCGCATCTTCCTTATACATCAAAGAACATTGAGGTGTTTTCAGAGCTGACAGAAATATTAGAAGAAGTTCGTTCAGAAGACTGCGGCTGCTGCGCAAAGAAACTACCCCAATCACCCGACCTACAAGTCTAGTGGCGGCTCTGGTGGCGGCTCGTCTAGCTCTGGCGGGCAGTCTGGTGGAGGTTCTGGTGGCAGTTCGGGCGGCGGCTCGAAGTAGTCATGGGTTCTTCCTTAAAGTGAGAATATGAGCTTAGCTCAGTACAGACTCCAGCCGTGCCAGTATCTCGAATTGACTGCTGCGTAGGCAGTAGTTTACATAGCCGATAGCATTTAGGCG